AGGGGGGGTCAGGGCAGGGGACTGGGGTGTCTGTGCCCCTATTCCACCCAGCCCCCCTTCCCCAAGGCCCTGCCCCCGCATCTTCTCTGCAGACCCCGGGACTCCCATGCCCCATCCAACCCCCCCTGCTTCCTGACTGCCCCCTCCAGAGACCCCTGCACCTAATCACCCCGCCTCGGGATCCCACCCCCATCCAACCCCCCCTGCTCCCTGTCCCCTGACTGCCCCCACCCCTTATCCAACCCCCCCACCCGGCCCTGGCCCCCTTATCATGAGGCTCCTAGCAGCATGTTCTGCTCCGCGCACAGCCAGGCATGCTGCCCCACAGGAGCGGGCAGCCCCGCCCCTCAGAGCGCTGCGCGCGCGGCGTCATGGCTCCAGGGGAGGGGGGAAGATGGGGGAGGAGCCGGCGGCATGCTGCGCTGGAAGAATGGGGCCATTTGCCCAGCCCTGCATTAGGGTGTGTCTGGGCACATCCCATGCACACGCCTATGCTTCTGCCCCCTGCCCCCGCGGGGGGTGGAGAAGAGCGGGCCGGGCAGGGTTGGCCAGGATTTTTAATGGCACGCTGCTCCGGCAGGCAGCAGTGTGCCATTAAAAATCGGCTTGCATGCCGTCTTTGGCATGCATGCCATAGGTTGCCAACCCCTGCTCTAGTAGGAGGGCTTTTGTAGCCGCAGTATTGTAGTTAAAGGGTTATATAGATATATATTCCCCATCTGTTTTAAGTAATCAGGATTTGACAATGGTTACCAAGCAATGTTGTCTAAGATGTTGCAGTTCTTTTGCATTCTAAGCATAGGGAAACACTGTATCATTTTATGTACCACTGTGTTAATGGTGACCCAGGCATATAATTTTGTATGTGGTCTGGAGAAAATTTGTCTTTATGGCGTAAGGGGGAAATTTGTTTGGGGAAAACTCTTGGATTTTGAGCAATCTCACTGTGGTAACCTCTAACAATAAAACCCTGTGTTTCCCTGAAAACGTTGAGAATTCCATATACATACAAAGCATTCAAAAGTGATAAATATGTGTTTAGGGGTTTTTTTTTTAGGAAGCTGAATTATGTCTCGGAAAGATGGGGTTCTAGTACCATCCCCCAACATCGTTAACCATTTGATAGGAGTGCCAGTAATAATTAAGCCAGTTAGAAGGTATTGATTTTCTTTTTAAATCAGTATAATTTGCATTTCCTTGTTTCAGTGTCTTTCTTTGTGGTGAGCCTGGGTGGAACATTTGTT